TGCGCCGCAGTGGATGAACAGCCGGCTCTCACATGATGAAGAGGTGTGCAGTCACACAGCTGGGCTGCAGGTCTGCCTCCCTCTTTTCAGTATTTGCTGTTGGCTAGCAGGGTCCGTCACTTACTGGCTTAGAGCAACAAAGCTATTACCTTCTAACTCTAGCACCAGCCGCCACTATGGGCCTGCAGGCACCTGCACCAGGCAGTCTCTGCTGGAGGCTGTGGGAAGAACTGGTTTGATGGTCCATTTAACTGCTTGTGGCCACTTGCATTCCTTGTCTTTAGCCCTGTTTCTGCCTTCAACGCCAATCAAGGCAAGAAAATGTCACATCCCATCATAGATTCCCTCTTCCACCTTGAAGGACTTTGACTATAAAGCCCTCACCACCTCCAACTTGAAGGTGAGCTCTCATTAGTAACCTCGAAGTCTCCTTGAGATGCAGCTGTCCCATGCTCAACAGGTATGGGACAAAGAGGGAGACATCTTAGTGGTGAGACGCTATTGTAACAACTGTCTGTGCTCACAGGTGTGAGTGGGGGACACTTTAGTGGTAAGACGCTATTGTGACAGCTGTCTGTGCCCACAGGTGTATGTGTGTGTGGGGGACACTTTAGTGGTGAGACACTATTGTAACAACTGTCTGTGCCCACAGGTGTGTGTGGGGGGGCACTTTAGTGGTGAGACACTATGTGACAGCTGTCTGTGCCCACAGGTGTGTGTGGGGGGGCACTTTAGTGGTGAGACACTATTGTAACAGCTGTCTGTGCTCACAGGTGTGGGGGGGGCACTTTAGTGGTGAGACACTATGTGACAGCTGTCTGTGCCCACAGGTGTGTGTGTGGGGGGCACTTTAGTGGTGAGACGCTATTGTAACAGCTGTCTGTACTCACAGGTGTGGGGGGGAGAGGAGGACACTTTAGTGGTGAGACATTACTCTGTTTAACCACAAACAAGAGAGTCAAGTCTTCCTTATAAAAATCCAAGGATTACTTTTTCGTGTTGTGTTTATTGGAGATGAAGCCTGGGTCTCACACACGTTAGGCAAGTGCTTAGCACCAAGCTGTAGCTCGAGCCCTGATTATTTGTATTTATTATTCTTTCCATTCCTGGAGGGCTGGTCCTGAAAACTACAACTCATTCCAAAGGCACCTACTTGTGTCCAACAAATACTGACGGTTATTTTTTTCAGTGTTGACATCAAACTCAGGGTTTCTACCTGCTAGGCACAGCTCTACCAACAGGCTACATCCCCGCCTTGGTTGTTGTGATACGGACTCCCCTCCCAAACGCTGAGATCAGGCATGCATTACCACACTTGGACAGCCTACTGAGGTTCCCGAGTTTTGAGACAAGGTTTTACTATGTTGTCCTGATTGGCCTGGGACTCAGAGAGATCCACCTGCTTCTGCCTCCTGGGCACTGGGACTGACGATGTGTGGCAGGCCACCTGTTGAGTTCTTAGTTGATAAAACAAAATGTATCAAGGGCTTCCAGTCTGGCACCCATGCTACTGAGCCACCTGGTGCTAGTGAGCGTTACTCACTGGCATCTCACGGCAGTGGCAACTCCCTCACGGCAGTGACTACTCTCCCACGGCAGTGGCTACTCTCCCACGGCAGTGGCTACTCCCCCACAGCAGTGACTACTCTCCCAAGGCAGTGGCTACTCTCCCACGGCAGTGGCTACTCTCCCACGGCAGTGGCTACTCCCCCACGGCAGTGGCTACTCCCTCACGGCAGTGGCTACTCTCCCACGGCAGTGGCTACTCTCCCACGGCAGTGGCTACTCCCCCACGGCAGTGGCTACTCTCCCACGGCAGTGGCTACTCCCCCACGGCAGTGGCTACTCCCCCACGGCAGTGGCTACTCCCCCACGGCAGTGGCTACTCTCCCACGGCAGTGGCTACTCCCCCACGGCAGTGGCTACTCCCCCACGGCAGTGGCTACTCCCTCACGGCAGTGGCTACTCCCTCAACTCTTTGGCAACGTAATCCTCGCCACAGGACTCCACTTCTTAGCTGGGAACCATGTTGTTTTCCTATTATAAACCTACAACAACCCGCTTCCCCCAGGGCTGGAGCATCAGCCTGCCTCCCGTATGAGGTCTAGAACAGCAGGTCCCATTCCAGTTCCCTTGCCTGCCGGTTACCTATCTCACAGGTTTATCTCCGTCACAGGGACGCTGTTCCTAGGTAGGGAACAGGGAGCCACCTCAATGCCAGGGTGTTATTCTCCAGCAGACACTCTGATGCTGCCAACTATGAGGCCGACTCAGGTTTTATATTCCGTGTGTGTGTGTGTGTGTGTGTGTGTGTGTGTGTGTGTGTGTGTTTGCTTTCCAATGCTACAATACTGTCTCCCATTATATAGTTCTCAGTTTGGGGGTACCTTTCTCTCATTTCTCTCTAAAAATTATGTGTCAAACTCATTTCTAGCCCAGAGTCCTGTGCTGACATTCTTGTCTGTTTTGTGAGAGGCCAACTGTCTTCAATGATGGCCTCTATCATACTGCCAGACATCTGCGGGTCAAGAGAGCCTCTATCAGCATCTTCAGGGGAGATGAGCCAAGGGCCACTGGTTTGCCCTTAGATTAAGAAACTAGGCTAAGAGTTTAAGAGAAATCAGCAGAAGGCCTGGGGATTGTGCACAGCAGTAAGCAGGCAGCTGCCATGCCAGAGCCATGACCGATACAGCTCAGATGAGAGCCAAGCATTCACACCCCTACTCCTGAGGCAGGACACAAGGAACTTCAGTCACCACACAGACACCCCCCAAAGCACATGACTAGAGGTCCCTCTACCCGGTGAGGCTGAACCTGAGGCTCACCTGAATGTCTGGGCAAATCCACAGGAGACCTGCATCCAGACAAAGCAGCTGGTCTGCTTTCTGAAGGGACTACATTCTGGCTTTCCTCAACCCCTTCTCTTCCCTCAGAAACCCTATTTTCTTCCTGGCTTCCTTTCTAGTTTTGTTTCACACAAGGACAGCCCGTCCTTACGAATGAATCCCAGGGTGGAAAGTGAACCCCAGTGGCTCTTTCAGGTAGAGCACCCCCTACAGCCTGTGGTTCTTACAGCGCTCTCAGGTAGAGCGCCCCCTACAGCCTGTGGTTCTTACAGCTCTCTCAGGTAGAGCGCCCCCTACAGCCTGTGGTTCTCACAGTCTGGTTTCCACCTTTACCACCTTCAGGGAAGCTCTGTCCTTGACAGCGGCTCATAGCTCACTAGCAGAAGTTCTGAGCACAGCCTCTCTGGACTGTTAGTTACAGTGGTCCCTGGCGGGGCAGGAGGGGGGGGAGTGCCACACTGTAACTTTAAATACCATTCTGTTGATCCTTCATCAGCTACATCCTTTCACTGCCTGCCTGGGGACCCTCTGGTGGTGTGCCTGGGTGGTCAGGGCTGAAAGCAGAAGCCTTTAAACTGGGCTCATCTCTGGGACCCCTCTGGTGGTGTGCCTGGGTGGTCAGGACTGAAAACAGAATCCTTTAAACTGGGCTCATCTCTCTGGCTTTGTCACTGATTTTATTTGGGAATTACAGCCTTTCTGTGTTTATGTTACAGTTAAAGAGATACTGGGGGGAAACCCCAAAGATTTAAATAAAGCCTAAAAATGGCATAGAAACAGCCTCAAAAGAAAACAGAAATGGTGAGTGAATGAGTGTGGCACAATGATCTGAAAGAGACAGTGAGCATCAGAGTCAAAACAAAAATTCAAAAAATCGCACAATGTGAGCACTGGCTGGAGAACCATAACGGGAAGATCACATAAAGTCTGGAAGGTATGCGGGGACCTTGATGGCGCAGTTCCGACACCATCACAACCGTTATAAAGTTCTGTTCTGATAAGCCTCCAAAAATAGAGGTATAAACCTCGAGAAAGAAGGCCTTTAAAAACTTACTCCCCAGTGTCCTGCACAAGTCGTGAACTGTGTCTCCTACCCAGTGTCACTGCACAAGACGTGAACTGTGTCTCTCTCTTACCCAGTGTCACTGCACAAGACGTAACTGTGTCTCCTACCCAGTGTCTCTTACCCAGTGTCCTGCACAAGTCGTGAACTGTGTCTCCTACCCAGTGTCACTGTACAAGACGTAACTGTGTCTCCTACCCAGTGTCTCTTACCCAGTGTCACTGCACAAGACGTGACTATGTCTCCTACCCAGTATCACTGCACAAGACGTAACTGTGTCTCTCTCTTACCCAGTGTCACTGCACAAGACGTGAACTGTGTCTCTCTCTTACCCAGTGTCACTGCACAAGACGTAACTGTGTCTCCTACCCGCAGAAGAACAGGAAAGCTGAGCCTCACTGAGCATCACTGGGAGATCTTAGCTATTTCATTTTGTAAGAACTGGCGAGTGTTGGAAAGACCATGTAGTCTTCTAGAAATCCTAGCAAACGAGGTGGGCTTGGCACCAGGCCCTCTGCTCTTAGCATGCCAGCTAAGAGGACATCCTTTAGGGTCAGGGGGCATCAGTGGACACCAGAGGTCTTGGAGGAATGGCTGGTAAACATGCTAGCAGCAATGCTATTCTCCGGAGAATTTTAATATTAAGATTGTATACTTCTCGACCATAATTATTATTTAGTGAGGGGATGGAGAAAGCTTTCCAATAAGTGTCAGCAGGCCCAGAACCTGCGGAGGAAAGATCTGCCTGCCAAAGTCCAGATCCCATCCTCCTAAAGAGTTGCCTACAAAGCCAAGGCCAAGTTCAGGCACAGATCTGGCAGCCTTTGTTGACCAGCCCAGACAGTGCTGGTCAGCAATGAAAACAAAACCAACAGAACAGAAAAACAACAACAAAAAGCAGTTGTTTCTCTGTCCAAAGTTTTCTGGGAAAGCAGACTCGTGTCCTATCAGAACTCTCTTTGGGTTCCCCAGGTGGAGATGTCTGGATGTGGCATTGGCTATGATCTGCTTAGCTGTGGTCACTAAGCAGTCCTCTCCCTTCCCCTGGCCACCCTCCCGGTGGCCCTGGCAGCTTGGTGCCGCTGTGGTACCTGCCGTTCCTGGTATCGTGCTGGCGCATGTTCTTGATAAAATGAATCTTCTTAAAATTCTTTGGTCTGGGAGAACCTGAGAGTGTTCGACATCTGAAAAAAAAAAGGCATTTTAAAAAACATTATCCTTGCCTAGTGGACAACTGAGCCATCCACACAAAGACAGGAAGGAAAGACCAGACAAATGGCTGAGTCACTTCGTGGCGGGCAGGAGTGGGGGTGGGGTAGCCTAAGGAAAACAATACAGCCAGCCCGGAGCAAGGAAACTTTAAAAACCCAATGACAGACAATTTCCTTGCTAATACTGATAACATTTTATGTGCATCTCTGAAAAGCTAGCTGACTATTGTCCCCAGTTACAATAATGTAACCTAAATGGGTCCCAAGGACATTAGTCTTGCTGCCATCCTAAATCAACACAGGTAAAGGGAATAGAACCTTGTAAATTTAAAAGATTTGGGGCCGCAGGGATAACATGCAACATTCATTTCAGAAACAAGCCTGAGTCATTTTCTTCTGGAGCAGGATCTGGCCTGGAAACCTTGGCGAGCTGCCCCAGCTCCTGACTCTGCTTGGGAAGTCACAGCTTAATCTGAATGAGAATTAGGACCTAGGTAGTTTCTGTTTCATTTTATTGCTTCAGAATAAATTTTAATAATCAAATACCTATTGAACCAAAGCGACTGAGTTTAAAAAGTAAAATCTCTCCTGAGAGTGGGCAGCATTGCTGACTGTGCTTCTCTGCCAGACCACAGCTGAAGAGACTGTTGAAGTAACCCGGGAATGCTGACTTACAGAACCACATGGACACCACTGCCAGAGCCAAAAATATCACCACGAGGAGGCTAGAGTTTTGTCTTTATTGTGCCCAGAGTGCGGAGCCCCCACAAAACCAACAAGGAGACCGAGTTCTCTATGTAAAAGCAAAGAGCCTTTACTCTTATTCAAGTTCTAACCTGGACTCTCCGTGTGTCTAACGCACCAGCACGATCGAGAGCCCAGCTAAGTTGGGGTGAGGTTTTTATAACAGCAGAAGTTGGAGTGAGGGATTTTTAAGGTTCAGGACCCCTGGTTGGCTGACATTTGTCTGGGTGCCCTATTTAAAGCAGATGGGTGTGTGCTGGGCTAAGGGACATCAGGTGATCTTATCTACAATGGTTGGAATGTTAGGTACTTTCCCTTGTGGATGCTGGTTGGTCCATTCCTGGGTGGTCCCAGTTTGTGCTTTTTTTCTGGAGTCAGGTGTTGCACTGGAGCAAACTAGAATCCAGGCCTGCCTACTTTCTGGTTGTCTCTCTAGACCCTGTCTTGACGGGTGCATACCAAGCTGCCCAGGGCCCCACAGTCTTGTCTTGACAAAGCGAATTATGTCCCTTCTATTAGAATCCTTCCTGACTCTGAGCCCAAGAACTGGCTGCTGCTCTAGGATGTGGATGTCTTCAACCTCATACTTTCAAAAACAAGTTCTGGAAAGGCACTCCACACTGAGCTCTGGGTGCGAACAGCATCTGAATACAGTCATCTCTGTCTCAAGGCCACACGGGAGGACATGGCTGCACCGGGGTAAAGTTAATAGTAAGGGAACTGAACTGGGGAACAAGAAGGGTTCTAGACTTACAGGGCAACTCCAGTCTTTACTCTCCCGCAGGGCAATCTCCAAGATGGGGGTGGGCCTGGTCGATCCCCATCTACCCTGACCAACCCTTCCAGCAGAGGCCAGCCTTTCTAGAAGCCCTTTCTTAGAGTACAGATCACAATATATTTAAAAAACAAAAACGAAACAAAACCGCCCTAAAATACAACCTCACTTGAATAAATCTCACTAATGCAAACCAATGCAGGCCTAAGCAAAGGCATTACAACCAGACAGTACCCTCTGGTGGGTTTTACTAGGAAACCCCCTCCCGTGGGCTGTGTGTCCAGAGAGAAGCACCACTTCCCGTCACTGTCCCTTACAGTGGGCTGAAGCTTCAGCAGACGCACAGGTCCTCCCAGCCTCCAACCCTGACGTTACTATACCCTTGATCACGACCACTCAGGGCTCCCAACTCTGTTAGCAACACTTCCAGTTCCCACCGCCATTAACACTGTGAGAACTAAATCAATATGCACACATATGTGTGTTTCATAAATGGCCAGATAACCATTGGCATGAAGGCACTTACACACGTGCATGTGCACACAGTCATATACAAATCCCAAGTGTTACATTATTAATAAGCTGTGAGGTGGGTGGGAGGTGGGGGATGGACCTCCATATTCTCAAGACAGCAACCCTTGGAATTCGGAGCGGTAAGTGGAATTTCTTTGGAAGCCTTGCAGAGGGCTGCCTGAAGAAATCAAGGAAAGGCAGAACCAGAGGGGGCCTCCATCTTCTTAGTTCTGGGGCTCAAGGGAACACAGAGTATAACAGACCCAGAACCCCAAACTGCTCCCATGCTGACTGACTCCAGGTTTACCAGCCACTCGAGGTTCCCGCTGTCTTACACAGAAGGGGTGGCTGAGGGGAAAAGGACGATTGCGGCTTAAACAGAAAAGAAGCTCCAGGGGATTCTGGGTAGGGCAATAAGTTTAAGACTGTCCTGTTCTTCACTCTGCCTCAACCCCAAACCAGAGCTTTCTGTGCCAGACAGTCTGACCAAGTCTGTCACCTGACAATCTCTAGGTCCTACTGTGCCCTGATGACAGAATGAAGGAGAACAACCCAGGGGCTGCAGAGAGGAACCCTCATTCCTAGGGCTACCAGGGAGACCGGAGTCAGCAGAAGGGCAGTAGCTGGTGAGGAGGTGGCCACAGTGACTACAACAGAGGTAGCTCCACCACCCAAGTCTAGGAAAACGGGCAGGTGCTGGCGATGGCCACGGCCACAGGAGGCCAATCAAGGCTGCGTTCCTAGTGTGCTGTTTGGGGGTCCCCGGTGATCACCAAGCAGTGGCAAACTCCCCAAAGTCCTCCCATTCTTGGAGCTCTGGGTGTGCTCAGGAAACACTGACTGTGTATACTGTGATATAACAATAAAAGTCCTGTCTCTGGGTGTCAGCTTCAGGCACCCCACTAACCTAAGCCTTCCTCAGCAAGCTGTTGTGCTACGCTTCTTCTTCAAAAGCATCTAACCAAAACCCCAGGGAATCAAAGACACGCTTCAAGAGCGCTGTTAGCAACAATTGCCAAGGAAACTGGAACACTGGGCTGCAGGTGACAGCGGGTCAGGCAGAGGACAATCCACAGAGCTGGCTGCACTATCTTGTAAATACCTATTTAAAAGCACCCACTTTGAGTGAAGCGAAATTAAATGAGGAGAGAATTAAATTAAAAACTAATTCAATGAACATTTAGCTCATCCTTGTTAGCACTGATTACAGGATACACTTAATTACGCTTTAATAGGTACCAAGGAGGCAATTGTTTTTGCATACTAACCTTAAAAGCAGACTAGGCTCAGAGCCTTTCTTACACCCTGGGTCGTCCCCCCCCCATCCCCAGGACACGTCAGTGCCATTACTGGGACATTTCCTGTCAGAGATGGCAAACCGACTTCACAGGTCAGCCCATTTTACGGATGGGAGAACCGAGGTTCCACTACTGCCAGCGAGTCCTACACTCCCTACTAGCATGGCTTCTTCTACATGGCTTGTTTCCTGGGAGCAGGACATCCCAGCAAATACGAACGCCTTTTCTGTAGTGGCCACACCTATTTGCTTATTTATATATGTAGGTACTGGCCAACGGGGCACACGTGGGCCACACGGGGCTGTGTGGAGACCAAGAACAACCCTATTGGTTGTTCTCTGCTACTTGTGAGCTGCAGGGACCAGGCTCCAGTCAGCAGTACTGGTGGCCAGTGCCCTCGCCCACTGAGAATTTCACTGGCCCTGAGAAGTTGGGGTTTTTTATTGTTTTGTTTTGGAAGTTCATTTAGAGAAATAAAGACTTTAAAAAACTGCCTTGATTTTAGGTTACTTTTAGATGTTTACGTTTACACAAGTTCCCTTTGAAATTCAGGACAATCTTCTGTAAGCGCGGTTGGGAGAAGTCAGTTACTGCAGGATAGGCTGTTCTCGCTCCTCGTCCAGTCTGGGGCTAACAGGGCACCCCAAGTCAATCTCAACCCTCTAACTTCCTGGGGACAAAATGGCCTGATCTTGAACCCTAGTGAGGGCAATTTTTACCGCTACCCTGATCGGCTGGGGTTCTTCTGCTAACAATTGTCACACAACTCCACATACTGGCTTGGCGAGCACTAGGCCTCCTTTCCTTTCTCCTTGCTGATGGGGGTGGATGCAGAGATGTCGTGCGGCTCTGATGCCAGTTATGTGCTGCCACCTGGGAGCATTGCCCTCCCTCCTCCCTGCTCACCAACTACTTGGAACAAAGCCAGTTCCCTGCCTTGGTTTTACTGGAGCTGCTGTGTGGTGTCTTCAGGGAAGTGGCTTCTTCCCGTCTGCCTCACAGAACACGTCCTTTGGGGCTGCTGGGAGTGTATATTTCCAGAGACTTCAAAAGTAGAGACCAGCCTACCAGACCCCGGCCTTCAGGATGATGTCAGTGGCCAGATTCACAGTCACCTGATATCTGGGTTTGTTCCTCTGCTTCCCAGATTGGTGAGGAGCCCTCTCAGGACCTCGCTCTGCCCTCCACAGTGGCATAGGAGAAGCTACATCCTAGAGTGTAGCCAGGCAGATGGAACCCAGATGCAGGCTCAGGAAAGGATGAAGTCAGTCCACACCTGTCTCCTTGGCCTTGGCTATTTCAAAGGATGGAACCAGACACTTTTCCCTTGCCAGCTTGGAGCTGCAGGGAGAAGGCAAGAAGTCACAACATGCGAATGCTTTCTCCTTCACAAGGGAAGCCTGGCCAGAGCTCTGCATCAATGTGGGCCAACGGAGAGGGCAGGGCGAGGGGAGGGAAACCTGCCAGTCACAAGCAATTGCTGTCATCCCAAAAATGTGCTTTGCTAGCACGTTTTCTAATCTGGAAGGAAAAAATGGAATGGAATGCTTCCAAACCCAAGGGAGTACTTGCAACTATCTTCACCAGGTTGCCCCAGCAACTAGCTAAGGAGTGACGTCACCATCACCTCCTGAGGAGATCTGGTTGCTTCTGCTGAGAGTGAAGCCTAAGATCTTAAGTACTGTGTAATGCCAGGGCTAATATGGCTCTGTTTCCATAAACAGCCACTTTTAAGATGAAAGGGCAGCTGGGGCTGAGACTTGAGAGCCACCACAGATGGCATGAGGAGGCCTTGGGTGCCATCCTCAGCTCCTCAGACCAACACCAACCACAGACCGCAGGAAAAAGAACCACCAAGTCTGCAAGCAGCTTGGCCTGCTCCAGTCTATAGATGGAGCATCCCAGTTTTCACGACTTCAGGGTCGGGTTCCACACAGAACTCTTTGTCCCTGCGAGTCAAATACTTATCCTCAAAATTTAATTCAGAAGATTAGGAACTAAAAACTGCCAGCTGTTACAATGTACACACACACACACACACACACACACACACACACACACGAAGCACGAGAACTTACCTCCGGAGAGGGGCATTCTCCTCAATATCTTCCAGGGTCTCTAACGACGATCTCTGGGAGATAAGGCGACGCCTACAGAGAGAAAAATCCAGGAGTTAATAGTGCACAGTAAAACTGATCAGAAACTGGGAATTCCTAACTATCAGGAGGAAAAAAAAACAAAAACAAAACCCAGCATATACGGCCCTCAGTTCATTCTAAACAACTGTCCTTACGCCCACAGGCAGTGTGGTCCTCACCCCTCATCAAGGAAACTTTGTGGTGATATTTCATTTGCGTTTGAACAAACAAAGCTTGCCTGAAGATCAGAGTGCAGTTAAGCCACTAGAGGCCAGGGAGTGGTGGCGCACACCTTTAATCCCAGGATTTGGGGAGACAGAGGCAGAGGGACCTCTGTTAGTTCAAAGCCACTCTGGGCTACACTAGATTAATCTAGATTAAACAAAGACAGGCAATGGTGGCTCACACCTGTAATCCCAGGATTTGGGATCCCATGCCTTTAATCCCAGCACACGGGAGGTGGAGACAAGAAGGGATATGGAGAGAGGAAGCTCAGGCAGGAGGAGACAAGAGCTCGATGCAGTCTGAGGTTTGGTGGAGACCAATGGAGTCTGGATATGCAGTGTGAGGTACAGTCTGAAGCAGTAAGCCAGAGGAGGCAGTCTGAGGACAGCCTGAGGATCTGGTGGAGGTAAAAGGTCTCTCTAGTGGCTGGCTGCTCTGCTTCTCTGATCTCTCAGCTTTCATCCCTAATATCTGACTTTGGGTTTTTATTAAGAACAATTAGAATCTGTGCTATAAAACTTCACTTTGCAACAGACATAGACCACTACAGAAAGTCACAGCCAATCAAAACACAAAGTTGTGGAGCCCAGGCCCAGCGGACACAAAACACCCCACCCTTAAGGGTCAGGGAACACTGTGAGAGAGGCAGTGGAAGGATTCTAAGGGCCAGAGGGCCAAGGAGTGCTGAGCTGGGGTCCCGAGCACAGTCAGCCTCACCAACATGGCTGCCTAAACACGAGCTGAACAAGGACAGCAATGGACATGAGCAAGTGTGCAGGGGTGGGGCGGGGGAATACGGGTCCTCAACCCTACACAAACTAAGAAATGCTGAGAGTGGAGAAAGTCTTCCCCAGGGAGGAACATACCAATTGGCTATCTAATACCAAGTAGCTAGCCTTGAAAACATGTACCTATAAGTAACACTATCTAGACTGAGCAGGCTATATTTATGTATTTAAGATTAAAATGCATATACATACACATATATGCATTAACAACAATTAATGAAAAAAGAGGTCAAGAATCAGAAAGAGGGCTATATGGGAGGACTCGGAGGAAAGAACAGGAAGGGGGAAATGATTTCATTAAAAAGAAAGGAATTCTGGCAAGATTCAGTGGGTCCTGAGAGTTCCTTTTCGTGTGGGAGAATGGACGCCCCAAGTTTGCCATCTGACTGCAAATGTCCTTGGTGGTACTTGTGCACCTGGCCCACACCCCACATAATAATAATAAACAAAATTAAAGCAAAAAAGATTAAGACAAAAGCTATCTTTAAAGAAGCTGCTGTGCCCCTCCCCTGCAGGGGCTGCCACGCCCATCTTGCTTTCCTGCATTTTGATAATGCCACTCAGGGACAGACCTCTTTGTGGTGGTTATAGAAGCAGAAGACCTGTTTCAAGTGTCCATTGCCAAAATGAAAATTTGACTTTTTTTTTTTTCATGAAAATTTAGGACAAAAACAACATGATGCCTCTTACAATACACAGGATTGCTGAGGCACCATGAGCCTTCCTGAGCATATGCTGTTAAGAATTCAAACGTTGATCATTTGAACTCATTGAAATTCAATTTTGAAAGCACATTTTATCATTCGTGTACCTGTGTCTGTCCACACGTGTATGTGGGTGCATGCATGTACAAGCCAAAGGGCAACCTTGGATTCTGTTCCTCTTGGGAACTACCCATCTTTACTGCGACACGGTGTCTTGGTTGGGGTTTCTATCGCTGTGAAGAGACACCATGACCACAACAACACTTAGAAAGGAAAACATTTAACTGGGGTGGCATGATTTCTGAGGTTCAGTCCATTATCATCATGGTGGGGAGCATGGCACATGCAGGCAGACATGGAGCTGGAAAAGGAGCTGCTCTATGCTGATATGCAGGCAACAGGAAGTAGACTGAAACACTAGGAGGTATCTTGAGCACAGGAAACCTCAAAGTCCGCTCCACAGTGACATACCTCCTCCACCAAGGCCATACCCATCCCAACAAAGCCTTACCTCCTCCTGCCACTCCCTATGAGATCATGGTGCCCAATTGCATTCAAACTATCACACAAGGTAGCTTACGAGGACTGGAGTTTATGGATTCAGCTACGCTGACTAGCCATTAGGCTCCAGGGAGCTTCATGTCTCCACCTCATCAGCATGTGGAGGCATGCCAGCCTGCCCAGCTGTTGACAAGGGCACTGGGGATTGAACTCAGGTCTTCATGCTTGCATGGCTAGTGCCTGAGCTCTTGACTCTTGCCTTCAATCATGTGTAAACAGTTACTACCTCAGAAAGGCCATGACCCTTCTGGAGAACTGGAAACAAATGATTGAGGCTAACTCCCAGAGACAAGTGAGAATGAGTACTTAGCATGACAACTTTTCCGTTGTCCAACTGCATATGGTCTTTCCAAATCACCTCAATCTAGTTGCTTTTGGCAGGCCAAAATAAGACAAAGCCTTGGTAACTAAGAATATCTGCCTCCACGTCCTGTCTTACTGCCCACGTCTGTCTATGTAAGAGTAGTGTACCCCTGGCACCACCCAAAGCCTTGAAGTCAGAAGTAAAGGATTAATAGATTAATGGGGTGCATCCCTAAACATCACTGGACACAACGGCCACACGCAGAAGTAAATGTAAGTTACAGATACTAAAGTCTCAACCAATCCTGTTATGCGCTCAGCCTCCCTTTGTAGAACAGGATTCTGGGGTGAGCACTGAAGGGTGTGCCCCTGAGAACTGCCCTCCCTTCTGCAATCACCCTTAGCAGGTCCCTGTAAGCTCTGTAGCCACTGCTCAGGAGTAGGCGTAATCGAAGTCCCAGTCAAGCTCAGCCAGGCTCCCCCAGCCCCGAAGACACTGTCTGTCCACTTAAACAGTATGACTGCCGGCCTGGCTTTGGGACACGTGGCCTGCCACTCTTTAGGGGCTTCAGTTCAGGCAGGAATTCACAGAACCACTGGAAAATTCCTTAATCTTTTGAGACTACCTTTCCTAGCAACAAAATGAAGAGCAGCTAAATCTCCCCTGAACTCAGGACCCCCCTCCCCAGGCTCCTCCTCCACCTCGCTGGTCCACCAAAGTGCAGATTCCAAAGGCGCTTCTGTAGAAAAGCTGCATCCAGTTCTGCTCTTCCCACCCAGGGAAAGACGGCTGCATATTCGGAATGCATTGTGTTAGACTACATCTTCTATACTGTTCTAAGAACTTGCTTTTTTTTTCTTAATTGGCACATTGGGTATTTTCCTCGTAAGCTGAACAGGTATAGAGTCACACATGAACGTTATTACAGACTAAATGTTCTCTTTCCCCACCCCAACCCCACTGCTCACATGAAATTCTAACCCTCAATGTTAACCTGTTCCTTTAAATCAATGGGCACGCTTCCCTTAGTCACAAAGATTCCTTGAGACACAGGTACACAACCTAGAAAAACCCACTATCGGTCACAGTAAGAAACTCTAACACGGTGCCAAGACAAGCCAGCACCAATGCTTGCCCTTCTTATGATAACGACCTGTTTATCTTGTTATTAGAAGGCTGTGTCCTGTGAGCTAGCTGTAGTGATCATCTCCACCCCTTACCATGCTGAACCCTTCCAGGAGCCATGGCAACGGCTTTTCCCTACCCTTCTATCCGCCGGAAGCTGTGTGGATGAGGTAGCTGAGGGCAGGCAGCCAGCTTACGCAGCCACTTTCACCCTGCAATTTGTTTCCTAGGCCTTTATCATAGGCACAGCTGATGAGCAAAAGTCTTTGCATATTGTAATGACTGATAAAGAATACTTAGCCTTTAAACAGCATGCTATGTTATTAACCACACAGACATTCAGTAATAGACCCACAAGACTCAGACACAAGCATTATGTGCTGAAGTCACCGAATCAAAGTACCTATGACTAGCAGACCGAGCCACACCTAGGGACTGCCCCCTTGTCTGATAATGATATGCAAGGGCCTACCATGCCGGCCACACTGACCCCAGTGAGGTTCACATTTAATGTCCAGTTTAACCAGCATCCTGAAAGCATTTCGGACTCACCTCAAAACACTAAACACAGGATGCTGAGCAAGAAAGGAGCTGAGACCCACGACAGTAATTTACATATCTGAATACACCCACACCAACCAAAGTGTTCTACTCACAATTAAGCCCGCACAGCTCAGCTGCAAGAAGTCACTGGATATCCCAGGGACCTGCAGATGGGCAGAGTGGCCATGTTCTAATAAATTCGTTTGCATACACTGAGAGCTTAAGAGTAAGTCGCTGGGCGTAAAGGAAGAGAGCTACACAGTAGATAGTGAGGGTGAAAAGGGGGGACCCAGCATCCCTAATGTTTCTTAGCACAAGAGAGCCATTATCTCCATCTTTAGGGCAGGAGCAGCTGTCATCCATCCATCCTGTCCCGGGCTCCACGGTGGCCGCCGTCTTCATCCTGCCCAGCAGTGACTCTGAGGACCCTGGGAGAGTGAAGGTAGAGGGAGGTAGAAACCACAGTGGTCAGGGCATCTTAGAAGGACAAGGCCAGGTACTGAGTACTGCCCAAGGAGTGGAAAGCCCTGGTCCAAGAGTAAGGACCACGATATAATGTGTTAAAAGTTGACTCCTGGGCCTTGGTGTATGCCCTTGTGTAAAACAACGAAGGCACCGGAAGCCAATGCACTTGAGCCTCGCTGCATCTCAGAACGGCCTTTGTAAAGTCTGCCCCTTGGGCCTGCCTCCAGAGAGTCTGCTTGCTTGTCCGGGCTGAGCTAAAAGGATTTTCTTAAACCACCAGGGGATTCTAATGAGAAG